TGGCTTGTGGGAAACTGTCATATATCAAAAACAACTTTGCTTTTATACCGAGAAGAAAACCCACAGTGTGGAAGCCACCTCTCTCTTCTAATAATCCAATTTTTTTCGATGACTGTGTGCACTTATTATCACTGGGTGGGGGGGGCTCTCATAGTTCTCTCTCTCTCTCTCTCTCTCTCTCTCTCTCTCTCTCTCTCTCTCGTTTCTCCTCTTCTTGATTATGTGACTTAAACGGAAATTTTGAAATTTTGGTTTTTCTCTTGCCCTTTACAAGTCATCTGAAAATATTTCTTCCCCTCACCACAGAGGTGAGAGCTATCAATGAGATAACAGGACTCATGAGAAACCACAGTTTTTTTTTTTAAACAAAAGTGTGTAGAGTTAGGAAAAACAACAAAGGAAAAGAAATCAAATAAATCACAGGGCGCCCTGGGTGTTCACAGACCCTACTCTGTGAGTGAGAGGCTATTTGAGGGTCTCCGGGAAAAGAAACAGAGGCACCAAACCCCTATGTGTGGATGGGAAACACCAGGGAAAGAAATGAAATAGGGCTGGGTTTCCAGAGGATTTGCCCTGCTTCAGGCCTCAGTTCCCCCTTAGGTGGCATTGCTATGGTCATCACTGTTCTTACTGACCAGGAAGGGGGAGCTCTGGACATCCTTGCAACCCTTCTTCCCACAGAGGGTGAGGGACATTACTAGATGGAGAAAAAATCAGAGAGTCCTCCCCACGCCCCACAGTTCCCAGAATGGAAGAGTCTGAGAATCACTGGCTCTCAGAATCCACAGAGCATCACTAAGTGAGGACAGGGAGAAAAGTCTCATTTCATCATGGCCTGAGAGCTCTGACCCAGAGGCCACCTTGTGGGGAAGGTCCTGACCAGGACCCTAGTATTAATGCACCCATCCTCACGAAGCCCAGCCCGCTCATAGTCAGGGATACCATGACCTGATGCTCCAGCCTCAGCCGTTGTGACTTTCTACTTAGAGAAATCCCCGTTTCCAAGGCTTTAGGAGTCCAAATATCTGCCAACATCCCCGTAGCTGACATTTATCTCGAATTCTCCATGTGCCAGACATAGTGCTGAACATTTCTCACAAATGGTCACATTCACGCCCTAGCCTGTTTGACTCAATGGATAGAGTGCTGGCCCTCGGACAAAAGGGTCCCAGGTTCAATTCTGGTCAAGGGCACATACCTCGGTTGCAGGCTTGATCCCCAGCCCTGGTCGGGGCGCATGGGGGAGACAACCAATCGATGTGTCTCTCTCACATCGATGTTTCTCTCTCTCTTTCGCTCCCCATCCCTTCCACTCTCTCTAAAAATCAACGCAAAAATATCTGGTGAGGGTTAACGACAACAACAACATGGTCACATTCAATCCTCACCAAAGCCCGTTGGGGTCCATCTTGACATCATGGCCAATACAAAGGTGAACAAAATGGAGACGCGAAGTAGTCAAGAAACTTGTCCCAGATCACAGAGCTGGCAGGTGTGGGGCCCTGCCTTTTGGTGCCAGACTTTGAAACCCCCAAGTTTCCTTGAGCCCAACAGTTTCAGGTTTTAAATACTAGCATGCAATGACAGGGAGGTTCTCAGGTTCTTCTGGGGGGCTTGAAGGTTGTGCGGTGTTAAGGTTGTCCAAGAATTGGTGGCTGCATTTCCTCACCTCAGGGCGCACCTCCTCCAATCAATGCTCAACAGGGGAGACCAGTACCCAGGGGCTTCTCCTGACAGGCCATGGCTGAGACTCCCAGTCCCCGGCTCCCCAATGCCCGGCATGGCCCAAGATTGTGTCATCCAATGTTCACTCCAAAGTATCCGCAAGACTGGTTTCAGGCCTGGGGAAGAGAAATTGGAAACAGCTTTTTATTCACATGGTACAAACCTTGTGCCCAAGACCCACCCCTTCACCCCTTTGCCTCTATTCCTCCCCTCTCAATAAAAGGAGATCCTCTTTCCTCAACTCAGACTCACCTTTCTGGAAAAGCCCAGAGGGGGCCTGATGGCTTGGCTTTGTGAAGATAAGAAGAAGAAAAAAAAGGTGAATAGAAAAAAAAAAGACCTTAAAAAAACCAGCCAACAACGACAATTGAAAAAAAACACACACACAAACCCAACCCTCCCTACCATTAGGTCAAAACAAAACTTTCACTGGTTGAAGCTTCTGAGTTGGTGGGACATGTCTGGGACCCAAATATGGCCTGTGTGCCAGGCATCCAGGGGATGCACCAAGGTGGGGTAAGGTTCTCAGGTTGAGACCTGTAGGAACACTGTGTACAGCAGGGGCTTAACAGTTGTGGCATATGGCTGGGAACAAGCGGCCGGGGGTGGTGGTGGGGTGGGGAGAGGATTAGTGTACTTGTCAAGAAGGAGTCCTGGGAAGCTGACCCCTTGCTCCCCATGGACTTGGGCCTGAACATTTCTTACACTTGCTGAGTAACTATAACCAGGCCGGTTCTGGAAGCTGAGGCCTCATTCCCTGTCCCAGGTCTTGCCCTTCCTGAGAGAAGGGGTTGGTTTTTTCTTTCAGGGTTAGAGGTATGGGCTGGACCTCCCTTATGCCTTCCCAGACCATCTCTCCCTTACTGTCACAGGAGTGGTCAGAGAAAGAGGAGGAAAACTGAGAGTGGTGGCCCAAAGATTCCCAGGAGGCTACTTGAGTGAGGCTCAGGGTGTGTGTGTGGGGGGGGGGGAGGCTGCTGCTGCTGAGAGACAGGACCCTTGCAGAGTGAGAACTGGGGGTCAGGTAGGCAGAGAGGGACAGAGTTCATCACCTCTTCTCTGTACTGGACTACATCCTCTCCAATGAAGGCTTCTGGGGGACAGTGGGCAGAATTAAACAAAGAGGTAGGGCCGGCTGGCATGGTTCAGTGGTTGAACATCAATCTATGAACCAGGAGGTCACGGTTTGATTCCATGACAGGGCACATGCCCAGGTTGTGGGGGGCACACGCCCGGGTTGCGGGCTGGGTCCCCGGGGGGGGAGTTGTAGGAGGCAGCCGATCTGTGACTCTCTCTCATCATGGATGTTTCTCTCTCTCTTTCCCTTTCCCCTCCTCTCTGAAATCAATAAAAAAATATAAAAAACAAACAAAAACAGAAACAGAAAACCCCACAAAAAAACAAAGAGGTGGGTGAAAATCCCCAGAGAAGGGGGTCTTTGACAAAGACTTGAAGGGAAGTGAAGGAGGGATCCATGTACACTCTGAGTAATTCCAGAGGAAACAGCCAGTGCAAAGGCCCTGAGGTGGGTGGGAGTGTGTCTTATTTTCTCAAGGTCTGCTAAGGAGGTTGTAAGGTTATAATAGTGTGAGAGAGAGGCAGAGGTGTAGGAGGTAAGGTCAGAGAGGAGACAAGAGTGTTGGTTAGTCAATGCAGGACCTTGTAGGAGAGGCCACAGGAGAATTGTGAGCAGATGAGATTTAACAGGATCCCTCTGATTGTTGAGTGTAGAACTGACTGTAGGAATAAGTGTAGAAGCAGGGGGGCCAGTGAGAGAGAGGCTACTGCAATAGTTCAGGGGACTGGTGATGGTGTTGGCAGTGGAGGGGGTGAGAAAAGGGTGGATTTGGGAAATATTGTAAAAGGAGAGCTGATAGGATCTGTTAAAGGATGAGAGTCTGGGGTCTAGACTTGGCCACAGATAAGCCCCTAATTGGGAAGGTAGGAAGGAGTCCCTGGACTACTCACCAGATTGGACTTTTAGGTGATAAAAAAATAAAGTTCTATCTATTTAAGTTCCCATTATTTCATGATTCTTCTGTTACTTGCAGCTGAGCATATTCCTTTCTGACCCATGACCCCTGGACACCGAGACATGAGGGGGAGAGGAGGTAGCTGCTGGGGGGACCACCTTCCTCATAGGGATGCTTTGAGTCAAAACCTTTCACACAGTAGATGTTCAGTAAATCCTCCTAGGATGGAGGAGAAATGTATGAATGGACATGCTCAGTGGACAAAAGCTACAATTTGGTTCCCATAGGTGAGACCTCCAAGGGAGAGTGAAAGGAGTTGACTAGATGGAGGAAGCAGAAAGAGCAGCTCTCTTGGGAGAGGGGACAGTAGAAGAGATGGAGGCAGATAGAAAGGAGGTGAGGCCACTGTGGGATGTGGAGGACTGAGTGGGGCAAGAAGGACAGGGCTTGGATTTGTGATTATGTTAGCCAGTGTCTGCCAACATGCCTAATCAACTCTTGTCGGCATAGTCAAGCTTAGTGTTTTGCTGAGCTGCTTAGAAAAAGCTAACCTTTCAAAAAAGTTATATTTTTCATCTGGCCATTCATTCAG